GGGAAAGGGGCGGGGCGTGCTTGAAATATATCTGGGGAGTAGAGATCTAATTAATATAAAATTAATATAAATCAGTATAAATTAAAATATAAGCCTAATTAATACATTAATATAAACCTAATTAATGTAAAATTAATATAAATTAGTATAAAATAAAATATAAATAAAATTAATACGAAGATTATATCGAATTAATATAAAAGTTATATTTGTCAGCGTAATGTTTCTAGCTGTAATACGTAATTTTTTTGTGCCAAGATTTTTGCAAAAATAAAAATTTTTGCCAAATTACGAATTTTTGCCAAAATACAAGTCTTTTTCAGGTGATCGTAAAGGACTCGAATGTTGTAGTTGTAACGCTAGCGCTGCATGCGTTAACTTCAATTGCGAAGGGTTTGAGGAGGAATTTTGCGAAATATCTCCCTATGGTATGTGCTTGTGAGTTCCTTAAATATGATTTCTTCACTTTTGGGAAGCTTATTCTCATTTTTGAAGAGTTGGCTACCGATTTCATCAAAATTTCTACTTCTGCGCCTTAATTTTTATCTCTTTTCTCAGGATCTCTTAATATTCGTCTGTCTATCTTTCACCGGAAAAAACAACAGCCATGCTTAACACATAGTCCTAAAAAGTTTCGATCATGAGGGAAAACCCGATTTGTCCCTACTGCTTGTAGGTTGTCCCTGTTATCTGTAAGTCCCATCTGTGAATCGTTGGCTGCTAAATTCGTCAAAATTTTTATCTCTGAGTCTTAAATTTTATGTCTTTTCTCAGCGTCTCTTAATATTCGTCTGTCTATTTTTCACTAAAAAACAATAGCCATGCTTATCACATAGTTCTAAAAAGCTTCGGCCATGAGGGAAAACCCGATTTCATTTTGTCCGTATTGTCTATAGTTATCATCTGTGAATCGTTTTGCGCCAAATTTACCAAAACTTTTTTCTGCGTCTTAATTTTTATGTCTTTTCTCAGCGTCTCTTAATGTTCGTCTCTCTATCTTCCACCAAAAAATAGCAGCTGTTCTTAAAATATATTCCTAAAAAACTTCGATCATAAAAAAAACGATTCCGTTTTGTTCCTACTTTTTTCGTGTTGTGTACATGCAACATTCCTCTAGAAGCAGCGAATCGGCTACCCGGACCTATAAAAATTCCCAAGTTCTTTGTATATGTTTTTCGAAGAATATTC